TTCCCCCCCCCCCCCCCCCCCCATACTTGTGCGCCTATCAAAAAAGGCGTTGCACCGCCTTCGTATTAGGCGAACAGCGTGACGATTCTTCATGTGGTTAAAAAGAGTGATCATGTTGATTTCGGATGGTATTATCTGTTATCTTATACAAGAGTTTTTTGTATCGCGGTTTCCTCAAACGATGATTTCTCATTAAGAAGTATGAATATCTTGATTTGAAAAAAACGTCATTTGTATCTTGAACAAGAGATTCTCATATTGCGTCGCCTACATACTACATACCCAACGAATGGCGAGTCTTTGTGTGGTTAGTGATGTAACGTAACCATGTACGTAACTTAAATGTAATTATGACTGTACAGATCGTATTTTCTTAGACGAGACTTTTGTCGGAGATCGACTTACCATTCTCGGACTTCGGTGGAACGGGTTCAATCTTGACAGAGGTGGTGGTGGCATGAAGGGATGTGGAAACTTCTGCGACTTGACAGGGCACCGAAGCCAAAGGTTCCCTTTTTACGGTCAGGCTAGCACTGCTATTGTTAATACTAGCGCTGCTATCCTGTCCGTTCCAGGACGAGACGACAGGTAGTGTCCTGCTGCATCCCACATCTGAATGCACCACCTTTGTCTTTCCTGTAATTAATCAATTCCCGATCTCAACGCATACAAGTTCAAAATGATCTGGAGTCATTCGATCTGTGATGTGTTACGATGTGTGTGGCTGTAATTTGGAAAATTTAACATCTTAGTTTTCTCGGTTCATTGAATTTTTGAACTTGGAATTTCAGAGTTTTACAATTCTTGGAGATTTCAAATTTTAAGGATATGGATAAAAAATGTAGTCTTAGAAAAATACCGATTTCGAAGCTTCGATAATCCGAAAAATCAAAGACAAAGTCTGAGATTCGAAGCCCAATATTCGTCTCGAAGATTCTAGAATACAAAAGTTTGAAAATCTGAAGGACTAATAAAAAAAAAAACATTTATCGTTTCATATTTCGAATAGAGCCAACGATGAGATGTCCGAATGTTATCCGCACATTTCGAGTGACAAGCAGGTATCCGAGTATTCGGCTTATTTTACCGGGTCCTAAGCTCAGCCCTAATCTCGAAGCGTGACGCGTTCGTTCGCATATGCGATTCATTGGATTTTACATGGAAAAGTCCGAGGGAGAACGGACGTCGTACCGTTGCTGTTCCTGCAGAGGCACGACGTCCTGGTCGATTTGTTCTCCAGCTTCACCGGTTGGCCTTGACTGGAAAGGAAAGCCTCACGTTTCTTCGTGGCGGTGGCTTGAACGGCGATTTGGTTGCTGGTCGCCTGGTTACCACCGCTGCCGACGCCACCGTGCACCATCATACTGCTGGTCGTGCTGCTGGTGTTGGTTAGACAGGACGAACCGTTCATGGTGACGGTACATCCTGTCGCCGCCGCTGTTGCGCCTGGCGGTTGATATTCCTGCAGGAGGACACCCGTCGTCGGCGCGATACCGTTGGTCGAGTTGGGTGACGAGAAGTTGTTGATGGTCAATGTTGGTGCACTGCCGGTTACTAGCGACAGCTGAGGCGAGAATGTGTTCTGATGGAGGCCACCTTTCGCGAAAAAGCACAGAAAATTACGTTAACGTATTTTCACCGTATGATTAATCCGCGTAATAGCAATATATCGGAATTTAGGCATTAACAGCGCAGTATTTTTCATAAACCAATATATACATCGATAGTATAGAGCAACATTTTTCAACCTTTCAATTTGTGGCACGTTAAATGAGGAGCACTTTCAAAATGCGTTTTTTTTTTCCAAAATTTGTAATTTTCAGAAAATGAGAAAGAAAGAAATTACGCACAAAAGAAAGCTACGCACTTTACAGAAAATAACAATATGTCGATCAGTAGGATGTTAAAATTGCTAAACAATTTAAAATTTCTACGTTTTTTCAGTATATAAATTAACGATGAAAAAATGCTTTCTGAACATCTCAGAGTAGATTATAATACGAGTCTTTCAACACTGAACTCTCCGACATCTCTAACTAAAAAAATAAAATTTTGGACAAAACGTATTTTGAAAGTCTGCTCCTTAAATAATGAGCCAAATCTTTCTCCACATCATTAGATGCGTATGTTTCAGAGCTCAGTATAGATCTTTTATTGCAATAATGATATCGCTTTGGTTAAAATAAGGGTAAACACAACATAATTTACATAATTTTCACAATTCTTAAAACCTTTTTACTTATTTCTAGTTTCTTTCGCTTCCTTTTTATCTATTCTAAGAAATGTTTGTTGCACAACAATGTGCCGCGTCATACCGGTCGAAAAACTCTGGTGTAAATAAACACGACAACCTTAGATACGAGCTGAACGTAACGAGCTGTGCTATTTTCGTGATGATTGATATTGTGTGCCAATAATACAAAATAACTTGAAATGGAAATGATTTCCGCTAAAATTATTGTCAAAGCACAAATGGTGAACGTATAATCGGAGAATATAGGAAAAATTCGCTACATGTTTTTCCGAGCTTTTTCCGATGCTTTCTCCGCGTTACAAGTGTTCATTCGTTGTATAGATAAAATTGTTGTTTGTGTAACGAGTTACACGAAGTCATTTACTAAGTGAAAGAAATTAAAGATATTCTGGTCCAATTTTCCTCTCTATGTCACATTTCTTTTTATCAATCGATTAAATTCGTCAAATTTTAATTAATACAACAGACGTAATTGATGTTACATGATTTATATAAAGTAGCCACGGAAATGTCGCTGCGCTTGGCTTAGCGCCGAGTCTCTACCGTGTCTCCAGATAATGCCAATTGTTCTACGCTTTCAACAGTCTCTTCAAAATGAGTGATTCCTATTTTATATACTTAACTCCTTAACATAACTCTGCATTTTTTGTTTATCGTATATGGTAAAAGGGCGATGATTTGGATCGGGTAAAGTGAGTTATCCGGGTATCATTACTTAGTAACGTTAAATAGATTTTATCAGAACCAGGATGAGGGCGACTTGATATTACTTAGCACATTGCATTAATTTTGCCTATAATTCTGCTTCTTTTCTCTTGCTTGTTAACGATAATGTTGCCACGAAGGAAATTACATAGATTTTTAATCATTGATTCAAAAATAATTCACTCGTTTATTTCGAAAGTCTCGTTTTAAATTAAAAAAGTTAAATTTTCGATATTCTCACGCCAATTTATATTATTCAATATTTCGCAATATATACATTTTTTTTCAAAAATCGAGATTTTGCGACTCTTTTTCGATTTCTTTTTCACAAAATTACAATAATTAATCAAGTACAATACTAATGGCTATACAGAGTCAGACGTTGTTTTCGGTGCGTAAATTATGTACAAATATATCTTTGATACAAAAAATTCGAACGTTTCGGTCCCATTGTTTGGACCATCATCAGCGATAATATAATATACAAAATGCTACCTAATGTTGGAGAGAATGGTGTTGAAACGTAATAATATTAATATATATAGTCCTCTTGTGTTCCAACAGAGGATTTCTTTTTTGACGGATAGACTCTTACCGTGATGCAGATGATGAATTCCGGTAACGTTGAGGGTATGCTGCGTGTGCTGCGTATGCTGCGCGTGATGCAGACTACCGGCCACGTTAACGCCAACACCCTGCAGACTTAGAGCCTGCTGGCCTGTGGCGGCTGCGGGCGCCAGGTTCGCCAAATTTTTCGCCAGCAGCTCCAGCTGTGTCACGGGCACGGGGCTGTAGGGCGATCCCGGCGGGGGCGTGGGAGCACCCCAGGTGTAGCCACCCACCCCAACCCCGACCGCCGCGGAAAACACGCTCTCTGAAACTGGAGAATCCGCCGCCGATTAATCGACCCGGCCTTCCGCCGACGAACGTAAGTTTCGTCTGCCGCGAGTAGGAAATACCGGTATCGCGATACACGAATAGACTGACTCTACTTGGCGTAACGCGCGCAGTTTGTTAACCCTAGAACGTTTAACTCTTTCACGCATCATGTCCGTATGATACAACATAATACGTTTCTTTCTCTCCTTCCCGCGGGGAAGGACTGATCCACACAATCATTTGGGCTTAACGAACCCACGGACCAGAATTCAATACACTGCGGAAATGTACATATGTACATGCATACACAGTAAAAAACATTTTGTATTTGTGTTAGAAACGGTCCATTCAAATTAAACTTGTTAAAATTTTGTGTTGAATTTTTAATATATCCGAGTTTTAATTTAACATAACATGATTGTGTTATTTGAATATTTTGTGTTAAATTAAAATTTAATATTTCTCAGTGTTAAAATAATACAATGTAGTTTTAAAACATAAATTCTAAAAATAAATGAATAAAATGTGTTTGTTGATTTAATGTATTATAAATGTTAATTTTATTGAAGAAATTTGTTCTGTACAACTAGTTACATATTTTATATGTAAAAAGGTACAGATATTTTGTGTTATTTTCTCTTTGTAATAGTAAATATCTGTTAAATCTATATATTGCATATGTTAAATATCTAAACTAAACATGTAAAAATAGCATCTAATTTCATTTAAATTTAACGTTATAAATATGTCAATTTAACATAAAATTTGTTTTTAAATTGTGTCAAATTACGCTTCTTGTGTTAATTTTTTACATAATTTTTGTGTTACTTTCTAACATATTCATCTTATGTTAAATTAACACAAAAATTTGAGTGGACCGTTTGGGACATGTGAAATGTGTTAAATTTAACACAAATTTTTTTACTGAGTACATATATATATTTGCCGATCATACACATTTATGTACACATGTTTTGAAGCGGTAGTGCAAAATACAATTTATAGAAAGACCGAAGCAAGATAAATTCCAATTTAAGGATAGTAAATATAAAAACAAATCGTACATATTTGATGTACGTGAAACAGAATAACTAAAGTGAAAGCTTTAAATTTTTAAATTTATAACCCTTAATTAAGAACAATGTCTCTTATAACATAACATTTTATTTATGATGTAATATTTTTATTATTAACATTTTAATATTTATAATATAATAATTATTTCTCTTTATTTATAATCAAAAAGCACTTGTACATTTATACCTATATAAATTTTCGCAAATTGCGTAGTGAAATGTTAACATTTTCTACCTTTTATTATAAAATGTGGGAATAGCTCATGGGGGCTATTTTATCCCATATTTCGCTAATAATTAAAATTCCATATTTTATCGATAATTAACTGATTGGATATTTTATCGGTAATTAGTTAACTGTGTGGAGTGTAGAGTTCTTCTGTCTCTTTTTGTCCCTCTAAAGAGAGAAGGATCAATAGAAAGAGTGATTAATATTTTCGGGATCCGTTTCGCAAGGAAAACGCGTAATTCTCGGGAGGAAATGCGTCTATCAGCGCGTGCGGCAGCACGATATATCTTTGGCGGAGTGCTGCGCCATTGCTAGGACTATTGATTTTATCTAAATGTGGATACGTATCTGCCTATGCAAATTAATGTGTGTGAAAAATATCCTGTTGATATCTACAACGTGCACAGAATTGGCTATCATTAATGGATATAGAGAAAGCGTGTTCTTCTCTGAAAACGCACTAAAAAAATTTGCATTCGTGTCAGCGGTTCTTTCCTTATCACGTTTCATCAGGATTGCTACAAAATTGGAAATCAGAGAAAACAGGGAACTGTCAAGGAAATTGAAAACGGCCAGGAAAATCAAGTAATTTTGCAAAATTTTTTGAAAAATAAAAATTCTCAGTTTTAAAAAAGTTTAATATATGTATATCACACCTACGCAGTTTTGGAATATTATCAATTTAACAATTAAAAATACAAGTAGTGTCAACAACATTAATATAGTAATTTAATTACTATGTTAAATTGATCTAAAATATTAAGCTTCCAAATCAGAATGAAAACATAAAAAATCTCAAAATATTATTGAAAGTCACATCATGAAATTTTGTCTGAAAATCAGGGAAAAGTGGAATCTTAGAATGATGAATTTATGACAATCCTATGTGTCAAATTATTCGTATCATTTATACTTACTTGTCCGTTCTGCAGCAATATGAAAGCATGAAAGATAAAGTGAAGATTAGAAAATTGGAGAAATAAAATTTCCCCCAATATGAAAAGTCGGCTTGAGATTTAATTCAAAGAGCCCATACTCCTACGGCTTACTGTCAATTAATGAGCACCTTTTATACCACTTTTTTGAAGGTTCGCGAAAGACGCCTCGAAGGGGAACCTTTCACGGGTTTCGCGGGTCTCTCATCCAGTTCACAATGGAGCAATTATGCAATTAAAGCGGCAAACTCGGATAAGGACCCGGAGGAGTTGAAGAAAAACGCGCGCGTCACAAATAGAATTCCCGCGTGTCCAGTCGTCGTATAGACCTTACCTCGTCTTCTTAGTTCCTAACAACCTCATTGTTCGAGGTGTAACCCAAAACGCGGCTCCCTGATAGACGGCGGATTTAAAAAAGAAAAAAAAAAGAAAGAATGCAGGGACGCGTCGGAGGGTCAAATCCTCCTCCTTCTCGGAATCTTGTCGAAAATCGAATCTCACCGGCGAGATTTCAATTATCCGAGGGAGGAGGAAGGGTTGTTCTGTTCGCAAAGGTCTGGAGAAGTTGCGAGGATGATAAAGTTTAACGTTAAAAGCGACTTCTGATCTGTTTCTTCGGTCGCTAAGCGTTCCTTAACCATTTGTGATCTTACATCAATGTTGAGCTATTTATTGAGATTTACGAAAATCTTATAGATAATATTATAACTAATGAATTTTATGTACATATGTTATTGTACATATATTCGAAATTCTCTCTCTCTCTCTCTCTCTCTCTCTCAATCTCGATTTATGAAATCTTCAATTGCGCGTAACACGGAATAGATCGATCTTTGCACAAACAAAACGATTTTGCTGAAGTATCTGAAAATTTAGATAGATACAGAAATAATTTTGATGGACCATCAATTATGTAGAAATCCTAAGCATAATGAGTAATCAAAAGTTTTGACATTCTATCAACCAATCTTACACAATTATTTAGATTCAATTTAGAGAAAAAGCATGAAAGCCAACGCTGATTCTTATGTTACGAATATCTTAGTGTTATTTATTCATAATAAAATATAATAATAAACTATGTAAAGTCTAGAGATAGATATTTTTACATAGTTTATTATTATATCTTGTTATAAATAAATAACACTAAGATATTCGCAACAAGAACCAGCGTTGGCTTTCGAGCTTTTTCTCTAAATTGAACAACAAAATAATCCAATAAATCAGGACGAATTTTCTCTAAATTGAATTGATTTATTCTTGAAGCCATTACATTGTTGTATTAATATTATAATTATTTTAATTGTTTCGATTGTCCAGCAAAATTATTTTCAGATCTATACGTAGCTAAAATTTTAAAGATACTGCAAACAAAATTATCTTTTTCGTCGACATTGTATTTGAGAAGAAATTCTGCGACACAAGACTTACCGCAGAATTGATCATTAAATGTGAGCTTCGAAATGTAATTCCTAACAACACTTTGTATCGAAGAGAATGAAAGTGAATGGATTACGAAAATGCTTGCTCTTTTTGTAAAATGTAAAGCGTGTTACGCATTCGCAGACCAGAGATATTCTCGAGAGACTTCGTAGAAAGCGAAGTCGTAAGAAAGGAAATTGTAAACTTACCCTTGTGCGTCGCGTGATAAGCCCGTGCTGGCATCGGTTGCTCGGGGGTGGCGGGGGTGGCGGCGACGTAACTGCCCCCGCCACCCCCTGGAAATAACGAGTACAGTCCGTAGCGGTTTGCACCTGTAACATCATCATCGAGATATCAAACGATTAATAATAATTAATTGGAGCTTAAAAATTAATGATAACGCAACGTTGCGAGGTTGCAAGTGACATTTAATTTTTACTGATGGACTCGTAGATGATATATTTCTGAAAAGGAATACATTAAAACGACTAATAAAGATAGACACGCATGGCATGAAGTGCTATACTTATCTCAAACATTCTGAATGAGAGAAAAAAAAATAGATTATTCTTTCCTTGGACTCCGCGGACGCATAACTAGTTATTATAAAATACAAAATGGGGAAAGATTTATTTATTTATTCGAATCTCTTCTTCTCTCTTACCTTAATATCTAACGTATTAGTGATAAGCGGTGCGAAAATATATGATATGTATACTGTAGTCTATTTTTATATCTTTATTTTTATCTCTAGAGTCTCGCTTTGTTTTGTATGGATTGAATCATAGATTAAATCACAAATGCAACTTTTGCAGATGTAACAATATTTTTTCCACATATTTACAAAAAATCAGAATTTCTATATTGTTTCCGCAGACGTTCAAACATACACATGCATATGCATACACACGCACACACACACACACTATATGATTTATCATGGAATTAAACGCAATGCGTCACGGCAACTCATATCCACATTTCATCGCAATTCGTAATATCTCGAAACTGGACTTATATTTGCGAAATAAACGGCTCGTGTGTTTACAGCCAGTTCTGTAAAAGCGTAAATAATTATAATATATTGTCCAGGCTTGTCCAGTTTTTCAACTAATATTAATCAATCGTCAATACAAATATAACGACAGATACACAGCGAGACATATCCATTATGTAAAACCGTAAGGTGCTAACTCGATAAAGAAAAAAGTAAACGCGTGTTTCATCTCGAAATTGAGGAAGTTCCGTGAAATTTACAGTCTCACGACTCGGTGCCATTAAAAGTATTGTTTTGTAAGATAGAAGGAGATTTGCGTCAAAATCCGGGATTGAACCGAGGACATTCAAATCTTCAGTAATGCATTCCCAACTTCAACGCACAACGAGTTTTCCATACAGCCCAAATTCGAGATATCGGATTGATAAAGCATGATAAGCGTATTACGCATCGAGCGTGAACGACCTCTGATCAATAGTGAATATTTTACATAACGTGTACTGGATGTATCGAGAGAACAGCGATATTTTTCGTCAAAAGAGACAATGTTTTTTTTTTTTTTTTAACGAAAACTCAATTCTTTGCGGACCAATATCTTTTATGAATGTTTGATACGACATACATAAAATCTCGATTACCGAAGAGAAAGCATCAAGATTCGGAATAAGATTAAGATAAAGTTTATCTATCAACGCAATACGTCTCCGAGTAAAATAATTTAGTTATCATAGCTCTCTCGAGTCGTATTATAACGAAGGACAGCTCGTTTGAGAAACGACAATACTGGATAGTGGATACGTTAGTACAAGAAACATACCCAAACTTCCTTTCCGCCACTTTAAGGGGAATACTCGCGCGATATCGTACTCCCGAATCCATTCGGAATAATTCAATCTCTGGATTGTTACGCCGCCGAGAGATGATAATGATGATTGATACGTATAGTCAGTATAATGTAATGCGAACCTTGATTGTGAGCGGGCGCAGGCGTAGCGGCCAGAGGTGGTATGCCCTGGGACTGTTGATTGGGAACCTGATTGGGCTGCGCAGGTGCTAAAGGCCATAGGGTCGTCGTAGCGGCAGCGGGGCCGGTCGTCTGTTGAGCCCGTGCCACCGTGTCCCCCACGGGACGGTCCCCTGTCCCACTTTGGGCCACGGGAGGGACCAACATCGAACCACCCCCTCCCGAGGCTGCAATCAGAGTGTCGAAAAAAAACACACGACATTAATCTCAATCTTAGACAAGCTTAAACTCGCGCACGCGAGATGCGTTCGATTTCAATTGCGAGGACGCGATCTTAATTTCAATTGGTAGATTCTCGTTTGAAGTAGAATAGAAGTTGCAAAGTTAGAGCTTTTCCAAGCTCCTCGCCGTTATCGTTTATCGCAACATTTTCACCGTATCGATTTTAAATAACGAGTCTGTTAAAGAGAGTTCGGAATAGCGAGAACTAGTCGAAAAGTAAGATTAATTTACGAGAATTGGACGTGAACAAGATCGTTGTTGCTTCTACGGTTTAAAAAAAAAAAAGAGAGAAAAAAAGATTGGTTCTCCAAATTGGTCAAAGCATCCATTCTTAATGCTATGGTCTGCCATTTCGAGGCATCCCGTAGATAGATCCGACGCGGTAGACGTCTACGTCTATAAATCTTCGTTTAGAGTTCGCGTTTAGTATCGGTGCAATGTATGGACGAGAAATTACTTATACTTTTGAATCAGTCGAAAGTGCCGATGCCACAGTACGTCGAGGTATATATCGATACCGCGTTGTTAGTATTGTAGCATCGTTAGCGTTGTAGAGAGCGGTTTTGAGAAAAAGAAAAGTCGACGAGTTGAAAAAGGGAAAGAGGAAGAGCGCGGAAGAGAGAGAGCGAGAGAGAGAGAGAGGAGAGGGAATGGAGGAGGGGCGAAAGATCGCGAGATTGACGAGGCAGTTGAAAGGGAGAAACGACGAGAGGAGAAGGTAGTAAAACGGAGAGGAGACCGAAACGAAGAATATAGAGCGGCTTTGATGAGCTGAACGAGAAGGAACACGAGGAGGAGCACACGAGGATAAGGGAGGAAGGTTCCGTTTCGTAGCAGCGGGTGGATTAGGTCGGAAGGAACAGTAGAAGGGTGCGAGGTAGGAAAGGGTAGCAACAGGTCGGCAAGCATAATGTAGTCTCTTAGATATACAGGGTGACGCGTCTAAGGGTGTGCGCACCGCAATCGCCATCAGTCGATATATCGACTTTTGATACTGTCGGCTTAATCCTTTTTAACGCGGTGATTTTTCAGTATTACAATTTATTGATAAAAGGATTTCGTTTGTTAACGTCCTCGAATTATTGCCGCGCAATTTTTTGATCATTCTATTTTCTCCTGATAGTTTCTGAAGTTGTACATATCAGAGAAGCAGGATCAAATGAACTCTAGTAAACCATTCAGAGTTGCTACAGACTTGGAAAACCGGGAAAAGTCAGGGGAAAATGCAAAAAAGTCTGGAATTTCACAAAATTTGCTCACAATTTCCTTAAACTGCTATAACTATTCCAAATAATTGTTATAATTTTTAAAATATTATATCTGACGTTTATAGTTCAAAACTTGCGCACTTTAAACGATTTTAACAAAATAATTCAAATTTATATTTTATTCAGTATTTTTATTTGATCTCTCTTTTTTGTCGTAATTGCATTCTTTTTTTTAAAACTAATTTATTTTTTGTTGGCTTGAATTTGCACCCAAAATTTTACTATGCTACTAAGCTTTTTTTGCGTTTTTAATAATATAGCTTTCTTACAATCCGTGAGTCTAAATGTTAAAATTTACGTATTTTATATTAATTATGGAAAATTTTCCATTTTCATCTGGAAAACCTGGGAAAGTCAAGGAATTTTAAAATCCATTTTTTGTGGCAACCCTGGCTATTGTTATTTTTGGTTATCTTCTCGGTCACATCAGGGTTTGTGAAACCCTGCAACTTTATCACGTTATATTTTTGGACTGAATACGTATTTTTTAGTTCAAAACGTGTTTATACCTCGAAATTTCTATCTCGAAGTCAGACAAAGACAGTTAAATATGAACCAAATAAATAATGTTGTATTTTCAATTAATTACAATGCTCCAAGAAATTTTATTGGAAAAATTCGCAAAAAATGACTACTTTGGAAAAAAATTCTAAAATGTTTAAATTTAATCCGAGTCTTCAAATTATATTATAAAAAAGTTACAGCAATGTAAAAAATCGCATAGGATCCGTTGAACCCATGAGTGGTTGGCTTGGATTAATTAAGACATAAATAATAAAAAGAGATGTTAACTTTACGATCAGAGTGTCAAGAATGTAAATGATTGATTTTTAAGAATTCTACGAAAGGAAAATCTCGTAGAACAAGATTTAAATCGATCACGGTCATATCGTTTACGACGAAAAAAGCGTCTCAATAAAAGAACAAGATACTTAAATTCTTATCACTATAACTTGTATCCCCGGAGGTACGGGTTTTTTTGGGACAAAAGTACCAATAAAAAGTGAACACGTATTAATATAAAACTGGATTTATTTGCATTGACAAAGTAAAAGTTGGTCGTCTCCTAGTTTAGCTAGGATTAATTTCCGGTCACGCCTATCGCTCCATACACATGTACGACGCAACGGCGCGTCAGTGATAGTGCGCGTTGTTTCCAGAAGAAAAATAGCTACGGCGTTACAGCTGAGTTACAAGTAACAAAGTTAACCGCGATCCTTGACGCGCCCTCGCGTGCGCTCGGTCATGCGTGCACGCGCGCTTACGCATAAGCGCTTACGCATACTCGGAATCGGAGCGCATTCGCCCTCGTTACCGCGTGCACGCGTGCACGCGTGCACGCGTGCAGTAACGACCAACCGCCAATAACCTGTCAATCCGCAGGTATACACCGTATCGGAGGAGTACGTGAGTACACGTGACGCGCGCGGCGCCCGTCGATAGTCGCCTGTCACACGAACGCGAATTATTATGATCGGCCACCTTTCTTTCACGGGTCTCTCATGTACAAGATAGAATATTTCAGCGCATTTCGAATTAAAGCCTTCGGACATATGTCGCTTGTATATACGCGGTGTCCAAGACGAATACGCGGATGATTCAGTGTTTGTCTATCTTCTGACTTCCGGATGCGTGTACAAATAAATCATTAAATGAAAGTGTCGGCGATGCGATGACATGGGATATTATCGGCGACGATCTTGTCTTTGAGCGGAAACTACCTCTAGATGGAAATCGCTTTTTTGCGCGCAATTTATTTCGGACTTTACACCTTATATCTATCCAACATGGAGTCAACTTTTCCTTACCGTACAAAAGAATGGAGAAGTCCATACTACATTATAAACGATCGAAATTAAAGGATTATATTCGAGGATTAACACGGAAAGAATTAATTTTACTAAAGTATTTAAAAATTTTTAACTATATAGAAATTTAACTGCCTATTACGGTCGGAGCTGGATCTTCGTTGCTTTTTAATAATTCAATCTTGAATTACTAATATATACTATATATGTACTTGCATATA